GTATATATATGAAGGTTAAACTAAGAATTTTTTAGATATATTTTCCTTACGGAGTAGTTTAGAAAAATTTTAGGTGGCTTCAAAACATTTTTCATGAATATAGAATATTTTAGATGCTTTTTTATATACGTTATATTTATATACGTTATATAATATTTTAAGTATTTTTAATATCTATATATCACACTTAGAAAGAATTTTTTGATAAAAAAAAACATTAAATACACATTATAAATGTTAATAGAAATCGTCTTCAGTGTTTGTCTTTGATCTCAATCACATATAAAATTTCATTTTATATGTTACATAATATTTTGATGTGCTCGATTTGTATTTGTAAAATTGATAGCTTTTGCATTGGTTTCAATTGTATTTGTTAAAATTGATAAATTGTTAAGCTTATAAATTATTTTTTATGGTAACAACTTAAGAAAATGATAATAATTTTTGAAAGGGTTAATTGCCAAATAAACCTCGACCTTTTCACTTTTGGCAATTTAATCCAAACTTTTAAATAATAGCAATATAATATCTACCTTGTCTTACTTTTGCAAAATTGACTTAAAACCCGTCGGACGGTCAAAACATGCCAGCGTGTCCGGCTGTGTTTTATCTACGTGTAATTTTGAAGATGCTCACTCAGATTAATTAAATACGTGGAATTTCTTATGAAAAAAGTATAAAAACCCGGTCCCTTCCCAATTTGAGAAATTCCCAAATCAAAAATTTGCAACCCTAAACCCGTTCCCCCCTCCCCAATTTCAGAAATTCCCCAACCCTAATTTCTCAATCTTACTTTCAAAAGTTCTTTTTTTTTTTTTTTTTTTTTTNAAGCTATGTCGCTGTCGCCATCCCAAGGTAGCAAAGGTGTATTCCTCCACGACGGACGATAATCCATGTAGAAGGTTCTATAGATGTGCTACGTGGAAGGTGAGCTACGTGTATTGTGTTTGGTCGGGATGGTTTGGATAAGGAGGAAATTTTATAGATTCGCACTTAATCGCTTAAATTTTACAAAAAATTGAGATTGTTTGGTTCGGTATCAGGACTTTTGGCACGATTTAATTCAGTTCAATTCGTTTTAAAGTGCAATTTCTTCAAAATCCCCAAATTTCATAAACCTAATTAAAACCCCAATTTCTATAAACCCTAATTTTTTTCGATTTACATTGTTCAGGAAGGGAATGACCGCGGCTTTTTCGTTTGTTTTCTTCAAAATCCCTAATTTTCATAAACCTAATTAAAACCCCAATTTTTTATAAACCCTAATTTTTCGGTTTACATTGTTTAGGAAGGGAATGACTGCGGTTTGTTTGAATGGATTGATCCTGAAATTTCTCAGTTCCAAAAATCTTGTTTTCTGCAATTGAAATCTAAGAAAGAGTATTTGGAAGAGCAGTTGAGGGGTAAGGTTGCAGTGGAGAAATTGTACTCTGGAAAGGCATTGGAAAAAGATGAAATTGCGGACCGTGACATTGACTTTGAACAAAAACTGAATGATCTTGAGGTTGAAGTTCGGAAGAACAATGAAGCCGTGCTGGTTATGAAAAATACATTAGGTCTCATGCAAAAACTGGAAAGGAAGATGAATGTTGTAATGTTTTGCTTGATTGTGGTTATGATGATTTTCTTCCTTAATTTGGTTGGGAATTCTGGTCATGAGCAGAGGCCTAAAATGTTGCTTTGAATATTGTTATATTTTGTCTCATTTTGTGGATGTATTGAACTTAAGAAAGAATGTAATCTATTGTTGTGTTTTATCTCATTGTTATTGTCCTTTTATTTGGTGTAATCTTTTGTTATGTTCTGAAATTTATGAGTTCCAACTTAACAACACATTATTTATAGAAAACTGAGATCAACATTACAAACAATGATAAAGCACTCTAAACATTACAACAACACTCCAAATTGATTAATAATCTGTTCCAAAGTGATTAATAATATGAGAACTTCCAAAACAACATCAAATAGGTCTTGAGTGCCTAATCTGACAACTTCCAAAACAACATAGCCTAAATCTGAGTTCCAAAACAACATCACATACTTCCAACACTCCACAATCAACAATAGTACAAAAGTAAATCCTTTCTAATCATCCACAGTTCAACAAATACTCCAAAATAAACCTAAGTTAATCATCATCTACGAGAATCACTCTCTTGAGTGCCTAAAGCACCCTTAGTCTTCTTCCCCTTCTGCATTTTTCCCTTCCCTCCAGTGTTGGTAGAACCAGTACCTTTCTCAGAAATTACATGAACTCTTCTTTCTGATGACAACTGCATTTGTGACATTTTAAATAATAAATGAAAATCATTATAAAAAAATATTAGAAAGAAAACTGTTAAGGTAATAGACATACCCTCATGTAGGTATTACCAGTCTCCTCAGACTGAAGGATTCCAAATCCCTTTCTTGCCTAAAAAACAAATATAATAATAATTGAGCAGAAACAACATGATATATGGAATAACTGAGCACAGAAACAACAAATATAATTAAACTTTAATAAAAATAAAATGCTATTACCAGAGCTCTTTCCTTTAGAGTTAAAGATGATGACTGTTGGCTTGACTGTTGAGTTGACTTCTTTGTTGACAATGAACTTGTGTTTTCAGCTGTTGATCCAACATTCTTCTTGGGCCTCCCCCTTGGATTCTAACAAAAAAATAGATATTAAAACATGATTTTATTTGTTGTTCAAATTGATGTTTATCATAATAAGACTTGAAATATTAATTATAACCTTTGGTTGTTTCTCCACTGGAGGATTAGAGCATGACTGTTGGGCTGATCCAACATTCTTCTTGGGCCTTCCCCTTGGATTCTAACAAAAAAATAGAAATTAAAACATGATATGATTTGTATTTCAAATAGATGTTTATCATAATAAGACTTGAAATAGAATTTATAACCTTTGGTTGTTTCTCCACTGGAGGATTAGAGCATGATTTCTTATTGTGCCCTTTTTGAAAACATCTTTGGCAAGTCATAGTCAACCCAAATCTCCTCAACTTAGTCCCACAATTCATTTCCTCCTCAGGTGCTCTCTTTCTTTTCTTTTTTGGCCTTCCTGGCATCTTTTTAAAAGGAGGAGGAAGAATAGGAAAGCCCTGTGCAACTGGCCACAATTTCTTCCCATTTATGGGTTCTAATGACAAGCTGTACAATTGCAGATACCTTTCAACTGAGTAGTACTCAGACACAAACTCTACAGGATTCTGATGTTGGAAATTTATTGCAGAACATGCATGTACACATGGTATGCCTGTAATGTCCCAACTTCTGCAAGTACATGTCTTGTTCTTCAAGTTCACAACAAACTGATCATCCTCAGGCACAACCTCAAATCTTTCACCAACAGCTGGCTTTGTGAGACATAGCCTAGACATGTATTTGTTGTGCTCTAACTTCTTTCTTATTCTAGGACAAATCCTATCTGTATACCCACTATGTCCTAACAACTTGTCATGTTGTCTTTTCATTAACTCACTTCTAACAAACTCAAGCATATCAATAATGTGTTTGCTTCTACCCTTAACAATCATTCCATTGAATGTCTCACTCACATTGTTCTCAATCATATCACATCTAGACAATGGAGAAATGTAAGCCTTACAGAATTTGGTAGGATCTCTGTCCATGAAATCTTCATAAGCAGCTGGATCTTCTGACTTCAAATCTTCCAAAAATATGTTGTAGTCCCCCAAGTGAGTGCTGAGCACAATCTTCCAAAAAATGCTTTTCAGTGTGAGCCCTTTAAAACTCTTCTTCCAATTCATATATACATGTCTTGCACAGTTTCTGTGCTCAGCATGTGGAGCCAAATCTCTTAATGCATTAAGAAGACCCTGCAAAAGGATAAAATTTGAATAAGTGGAAAAATTCATTTATGTTCACAAAATTTATATATGTTAGAGAGAGAACTTACTTTTTGTTGGTCTGACATGAAAGTATATCCAAGACCATCAGTAATTCCCAAATCAGTAAACAAAATACCTAGAAACCACCTCAAACATTCCTCATTTTCTGTCTCAACAACTGCCCAAGCCACAGGGTATATTTGATTGTTGCCATCTTTTGCTGTGGCACACAATAAAGCCCCACCAATAAAAGTCTTCAAGAAACACCCATCAAATCCTAAAATGGGCCTACAACCACTAATGAAACCCTTTCTCAGTGCACTAAATCCCACATAGAACCCTCGGAATGTAGTTTCTTCACCAAGAAGAAACTCAAACCTTCCATCTCTGTCTACCCTCAACAACTCTGCCATGTAACTTCTCAGAGAAGCATAATGGCCAATTACTGAACCTCTAAGCATCTCAAGAGCTCTCCACTTTCCTCTATAAAGCTTCCACTTTGTAGGCTGTACTGCAAACTTTTCAGATATTATTTCTTCCATTTGGGTAATGGACATGTTTGGATTCTTTCTGAATTTCTCAACAAACTCCTCAGCAATCCACTCTGATGTAACCTGCCTGGTGTGGACATTTCTATGGCATTTGTGCTCCTTGTTCAACTGTTTAATTGCTACACTACCCTCTTTCATAACTGCACTTGCATATAAGGTCCAAGGGCAACCATCAACACATTTCACTCTCAACAGTTTTTTGCTAGTTTTCAGAAACTTTATGTCTCTCCCTTGAATAATAGCTACATTCCTTAATGCTTTTTTCAACTCCTCTATGCTTATGAATCTCATCCCTAACATAAACTCAAGAGTACTATGATCACATTTTGGATCATAAGTAACCATTTTCCTTCTACCTATACAGTTCCCATCATCATCCATTTCCCACTCACTACCTGAATTTTCAGAAACCAATCCACAATCTACAAACCCAGAATCTTCACTGTCCATCTCAATGGCCTTCTTTGACTTCATGTTGTCTGCACATTCTCCAACATCCTCTAATATCCCCTTTTTGTGCTTCTTCAAATTCTGTCTTGCCTCAAAATATTCAGCATCATCATCAGAAGCAAAATCATCAAGAGACAGTTCATCATCAGATGAGCTATCATCAACAGGGAAATAGTCTTCATCCTCACTATCATCCCCAGACCCACTTCCAACCTCACAGTCACCCACATTGGAAGTAGGCAACTGTGGAGTCTTTAGGTTATTCCTCACTTCTGTATCAACATCACCATCTTTCTGTGACTCAGCTAATAAATCCACATCATTAGGATTCTTAGGATCAGAATGATTCTTAGGATCAGAGAAATTGTCTATATATGAATCAATGTCAAATTGTTCCTCTGACCTTGGTGCACTTTCAACACTAGCTTCATTTTCACTGTTATCTTCTTCTATAATTTCCCCTACTACATAAACCTCTAATAATGTTCTTCCCTTAGTAGCGTGGTTAATCATCTCCATAACTACACTATCATCAACAACATCTTTAAACATATCTGCTCCATTGTTCCTTGGTATTCTGTATACAAGTTTTTCAAACTTTTCAACCCCCAGCTTCTCAACTGCTTCTTTTAAGTCAAAATACCCAAACCTATCCACATCTAAACCATGAACTGTTTTAAATTTACCACCTAAGTACTCAACAGAAGTTCCACATTTAACGAACTGGCCTCCATAGTTTACAAAAATTGAAAATTTTCCACTGCAATGCAAACATATGAATAAATAAGATAATAGCAACAAGTGAATTGCATAAGACTCTAAATTTTCCAAAAAAAACCCTAATTGTTCAAAAAAGCCCTAATTTCTCCCAAAAAACCTAATTATTTAGATAAGCCCAAATTGTTCAGAAAATCCCAATTTTCTCCCAAATAACCTAATTATTTAAAAAAACCCTAGTTTTCCCAAAAAACGTAATTTCTTAGAAAAGCCCCAAAAAGAAGCCTAATTTCACAAAAAAAAAACCTAAATTCCAAGAATAAATGAAATTTCTAATCGAATCCTAAATATAAGACCAGACTCGAGAAACATCGAAATAAAAATTGCAGAAGAAAGAAAGAAAGAATAGCGCACCTGTCTTTCATCTTCCCGACATATAACGAATCTCGAACGCACGACGACAAGAAATCTGGAACGCAGAAACACAAACTCGCATGCAATTGGGACAACCTTGTAGCGGATTCTTGATACAGAGACAAGATTTCAGATTTAGGGTTTGATTTTTTTTGTCGAGATCGATTTTGGGGAATTTGATTTGGGGATTTGATTTGGGGATCGGGTTTTTAATTTGAAGATGGGTTAATTTGATTTGGGGATCGGATCGGGTTTTAGTTTGATTTGGGTAACAAAATTCCACGTGTTTATTTAATCTGACTGAGCAACTGAAAATTACACGTAGATAAAACACAGCCAGACACGCTGGCATCTTTTGGCCGTCCGACGGGTTTTAAGTCAATTTTGCAAAAGTAAGACAAGGTAGAGATTATATTGCTATTATTCAAAAGTTTGGATTAAATTGCCAAAAGTGAAAAGGTCGAGGTTTATTTGGCAATTAACCCTTTTTGAAATGTTGTGTAGTCAAATTTTCATTTTTTATGGTAACAACTTAAAAAAATGATAATAATTTTTGAAATGTTGTGTAGTCAAATTTTCAAATGGAAGTAACATCATAATTCCGGTATCTTCTAAATCTTCTCTAAAACAACTTTAGAGTGAGATAATGTCTTCATTTAGGGTTATAATATTTTAGATACTTTAAACAAATTTTTGTATAAATTTTTTTACACATTTGCTCTCTCTCTCTCTCTCTCTCTACATATATATATATATATATATATATATATATATATATATATATATATATAATGTGGTTCAAATGAGAACCAAGTCCTAGTGTGAGAACCGTGAGAACCGCTATTTTTAATTGTATGTAGTGCTATGATTAATTGTGTTTTAGTGCTATTTTTAACTAGGATGTATTTGATTAAAAATAGCAACAAAATTTTTATTAGCATTTATGAAAATGATAGCACCATGTAATATTAAAAATAGCATCATACACAATTAAAAATAGCATCAAATATGGTTCTCACGGTTCTCACACCAGACATAGTTTTTATTTGAACCAGCCCCTATATATATATATATATA